GTCAAAGTCTTTGTTCATTAAGGTGAGAGTTGGCCGAACAAATCAGTTGTGAAAAAAATCAAACAGACTTCCAGGTTGCTGTGGATTAAAGGACTTAAAAGGGTCAGCCATATATTGCACCCCTTGATTTGCAACTAGTCAGTTAAGTGGCTGTTAATAATTAACTGAAGGCCTTAAATGGATAAAACCTCTCCTGGTTGACCTCTTTTATAGAAAATATGCATATGATTAAATGCAAAACCCTTATTTTCTTGAAAGTCCGCTTTGTTTTCTACTGTTCATCACCATATAAAGCAAGCATCTCAATATCTTGAATGTAAGCAGCTGCTAATGAAAATTAATACTTAAATCTCAATGTGCTCAGTTATAATATCTACCAATGTACCTTACAACATCCAGAGAAAACGAGCTCGTATTGTCCTCCCGGATCTGGACACGACCTACCAATGTGTCACGACGAATCGGTAGCCATTTACTTTCCGCGGAAAAAGTAAGAGTATATGTTTCTTCTCAGCGACTTGAAAGGGTTAAAACCTCTCCCATGCTTAATTATAATTTCAGAATACAACGGAGAATACAATATTCGAGTCAGACCGTTACGTTTACCCGGCGTTTAGTTCGCTGAGCTGTCTGCTTCCGCTGCAAGCATGATTGGTACCGATTACGACCGTCGGAAATTTTGAAAAGAAAATTAACCCCTAAGAAGTCCCAAGATCCATTTTTGTGGGGGTGGCTTGAAATTTTTTCGTCCCTAAGCGGTACCAATTCTAAAACAACGCATTATCTCCTATGATATTTTTCGGCTAAATACTCTAAAAGGTACCGCGAAAGCTCTTTTTGTGGATATTTTGAGGCTGAATACCCTAGCTAAGAGACAACAAAACCGCATTTTTAACCATCTAAAAAGTACGACAAGCACCCCAAAAGTTTTAGTTTTTCCACAGCTAGTTCCCCCGAAGCCACATGCAGCCCAAGCTCAGTACGCGAGCGTCGTTATCACTTCAGAGATACACAGGTACTTTCCCTAAAAAGCCATTTCACTCTAAATTATAAGCTAAATTAAATTCTCCTAGCTGTGGCCTGAAGCGCATGGCCTTGAATTCAAGATCGCATGTAACAGATAGTATGAGTGTCAAATTGTAAATGATCAAATATTCAGACTTGTTAGAAAACTCAGTGTGATGGTTTCGGTCTAAACACAATGTAAACAGCATGAATATTAAACTAAAAAGGTCGAAGTAATAATATATCAACCGAAAAAGGTTTATACTTTCGACGAATTTCAAACGAGTAATAAAATAAAGGCTAAAGCCTTTTTGCTTGTAACTTGACTGGAAATGCCATTTGTCAGTTAAATTTTCGAGTAGTTTTCAGTTGTCAGTCATTTTTTGCCATTTGTCAGTTGTCAGTATATTCCCATCCAGACCCTCAGAAGAGTGGTGTCAGGTGGAGTGGAGTACTTTGAGCAAGGGTGGTGTGGTGGAATATAGCGAAGTGAAGCACGATGTGGTGTAGGGTGGCGTAGTGTCGTGCGGTGCGGGGTGGTTCGGTATGGTGAGGGGTGGTGTACTTTAAGCTGGCCAAGAAAGAAATGCTGCGTAGTAGAGGCTGAATTTTCTTTTCTTTGATTACTGCACCGTTGAAGCTTTTCCTACATCTCTCGCTAAATGTTATGTACAAGAAGCGAATAGGAATAGTTCTTTGAAATCTCTAGGCTACTGGCAGCCGGTCATTCCTCTTCGGGAACGTTAGACGAGTGCCGTTATCCAACAAGCGTAGAATTTATTTTCCGTTTAGCCGGGCATTAACGTACCGCAACTTTACCTGATACAATTTAGTTACCCTATCTAAGGATCGTACCATGATCACAATGACAACAAGAGCACAAATGATACTCTATTTAAGGATGGGAGACTCAAAAACCATACTCGATCCTGCGGCACATACCCATATAGCCCATATATTGGAGTACCCTACCACCCCGAAGGGGGGGTTTCACCCCTACATTTAATTTGGAAGCGATTTTCTACGTACGTGTAGTCGCTGCATTAGTCTGGCAGAAGATGGAAAGAACACAATGAGTTTGAAACGTACAGCTGAACAATCTTAATAAGTAGGACTCTCGTGAAAGTTGAGACGATAAAAGTTGATTGTATAGCTGTCGTTTCTGATATACCGGTGAGTTTTATCAGTGGCTGAAAAAATATCGAGGCTGAAATTTGCGAAATTTTAAGAATATTTTAAGAAAAACCCCGAGGTTCAGATTTGGGAAAGAATATAATTTTGTGCGTTGTAAATTTGTAAACGCAATACAAAGTATGCTTAAATGTTTTTTAACTTAACCATATAAACATTTTTCCTTTCTCTAAACGGCATAACTGGCCAAAAAACAACCGTGACTGGCTGTAAGTTCGATGCTAACAACGTTTCTGCAAGACGTTTATGCGTGTCATATCACGTTTTATTGTCTGCAGTCTAGTTCCAAAATTACTTTAACGCTATCAAAGTCGTGCATGAAAGGACAGATAACATGAAGTTGCGTCCACATCATCCACTTTGTATTCCTATAATCTAAGGCTATTCACAAGAATATTGTCAGCCTAAAATCGGCAGAAAAATAAGAATAATCAACCTGGGCCGGAAAAACAATATTCTTATTTAAAAAAAGAGTGTTGTTGTCTGAGGTTTGTTATAGAAGTCAATAAACTGAAAAGGCTCAGAATTTATCTTATCCCAAGTGCCCTAGCCTGTGGCTAAATATCCGAGATTTTATGAGAATTTTCTGGAATAAGTGTTCCGATTAGAGCCCTGCCAAACATTCCAGCGAAGAAGAAACAAATTAACTGCCGATGCTTGGTGACTAACCACTCCTTTTGAAAGACTTTCGTGGAACACAAGACCGAAATGTGAATCAATAATTATCATGAACACTTCTTTTTAAAATTGCTAACCACTCGTTAATGTTTGGTTTTAATCGCGTGACAGACGCGCGTGAATAAGCTGATATCATATAAACAGCAGGGTCTGTCGAGGTCTGGCTGAGGTCACCCTATGACTCTGTTAAAGCAAGAAAAACAACGCAAAATCTGTTTCTTATTTCATGCTAGGCATTTTCAATCAGCATTTGATAAACGGTTAAAATAATTCTGTTCTTCGTGGCTCCTTCGGACCAACAAATTCTTTGCTGAAGAACTGCCCATTTGCAGAGCAGCGAAAAACATCAAGGACTTGAAGTAAACGTTATTCAGCGTTATTGACACAGTTACGATTTACATAAGAAGAACAAAAGATAATAACCGCATGGGGATCAAATGCTCTTTTTATAGCTGTAATTTCACGCTTGTTT